TCTTATGGAAATGTAACTGTACCTGGCTTCCTTGTGTTATGTAGATGTATCTTCTCCCAGTCTGTAGGCCTGTGTCTTTTCCCATGGACCCCAATTCTAAAAATCCCCTAAGCCTGCCTATATTCCCCTAAAATTCCTGTTTCATTAGGACCCAGCCTGAGTCTCTGACTGCAAGGTGAGTTGTAATTCAACCTGTTGGGGGTTGGCTGTGAATCAGAACACAGTGGTTTTAGTTAGAGCTTTCAAGCAGCTGACACAAGTGAACAAGCTAGACGTAGGATGGGGAAAGAGAAAAGATGCTTTGTTTTAGGAACCTATTTTTTTTATCCACTGATCACAGGCATCAGTGGCTGCCTCAGAAACTCGGGTCAGTGGAGTCTCTAGGGTTTACTTCCATAGCTCTCCAAGAGTAAACATGACAGGTTGGAACAGAGCAAGAAAAAATATATAATACAGCCAAACATAGTATTTGAAAATCCATCCTTTGGTTATTAATATGAGGTTATGCAATCTGTTTCTCTATATGAGTATAAAATTATTACAAGTGTTCATTAAGGTTTCAAAGCATAATTGAAGGCAACCGGAGATTCACCTAGTATTTCTCCTCTCATCTTTGATAGCTGCTGTTGGGTTGTTAGTGATGGCTTGTTGGACTTCCAATGAGGGCAAAGAGGGTAGGGCTCTCCTTGAAAAGAGAGAAAGATGGATAACAGGGTTGTTCTTTATCATGACTCCCAGTGGTTTTGAATTCTTTTAATTGCAATAAAAAGAAGAAATCATTAAAGCCAATTTAAAAATCTTAGGCATTGTACAATTGCTTGAAGAACAAGAGGAGGAAAACTGTGATAAAACATTGTGTTATTTTAAAAAGTAACTTTTAGTGAGTCAACAACATCTATTAAAAGCTTTAAAATGTTCATTTTTATTTACCCAGAAATCTATACCTAATAATATTTTAAAAGAATATAGCAAATCTGAGCCAGTAAAAGCTTTATTCACCAAGATATTACCAATTGTATAAAATGAACCATAATGCAAACATTAAAACACTGACATTAAAAGTGATATTTAGCCCTAGCTGGTTGGGCTCAGTGGATAGAGCATTGGCTTGTGGTCGGAAGGGTCCCAGGTTCAATTCTGGTCAAGGGCACAAGTCAGACATAAAATAATGTTTATTTGTATGATAAAAACAAGCAGAATAATATATAAAGTATTAGAAAAATACATCAAAATGCTAATGGGATTATATTCAGGTATAGGATCAAATCTCCTTAACTTTTTGGTAAGGGAAAAATACAATTTCAAATAATAAAAGTGCTTTCTTTATCACCTTTTGGGTTGGAAAAACATGAACTAAATTTCTTCAACAATTTCAGATTTTGTAAACTGAGTTTTATTATGATTATGAAGATAATTTTTTATAATTGCTTTCTATTTTCCTAATTGATACTTTCTTTGTCTTTTTGTTGGCAATCAGTTGATAACTACTTTATTAGTTTAATTCTACTGTAAGCTATAGACTTCTCTCTGCTCTAAATTCTTTTGACTTGGAAAAGTCACAAGAATTCTTTTAATTTGGAATAGTGACAGAAATTCTTTTGATTGTCATTTTCTTCTGAGCTGCATGTTGTAGATTTCATGCCTGGAAAATACATGTCAGTACCATCTTTTTTTTTTAATATATTTTATTGATTTTTTACAGAGAGGAAGGGAGAGAGATAGTTAGAAACATCGATGAGAGAGAAACATCTATCAGCTGCCTTCTGCACATCTCCTACTGGGGATGTGCCCACAACCAAGGTACATGCCCTTGACCGGAATCGAACCTGGGACCTTTCAGTCCGCAGGCCGACGCTCTATCCACTGAGCCAAGCCGGTTTCGGCCATGTCAGTACCATCTTGCTACAACCAGGAGCTCCTCTAGTATCCCATGGATATAAACTTAAAATCTTCTCTGCTTTCCAAAGCAACCAATTTATTATTAGTTCTGGTTAGCCCTGTCTTTTGTCACCAGAAAGGAACTGGGACCCAGGTGGGTCTGCCCTGGCATCTAGAATGGGTTCTTGACTTTGTACAGGAAAGATTTCACAATATGAGTTCAGGTGATTTTGAGAATATGTTTACTAAAGCTGGGGATAGTGAAATAAAGGAAGGGTTTCATGGAAGAGGCAAGATCATAGCAACAGGAGTGAGCCTAGGCAAGGCCGTCTTGGCCCTTTAGAAAGAAAGTCACAAAGGTGGAAGTGAGCCATTTGGACTTCATGAACTCAAGGAACAAATTACAGAGACAAGAGGAGGGTCTTTGGAGACAGGTTCAAGGGGTTAGCCCAGGACCAGCTGCCACTGCCTGCTGCTCCCCTGGTTACAAGTCTCCTGGAGCCTTTAGACTAAGCTTAGGAGAAAGCAAGCAAAGATATATGCCTGAGGAAATACAATCTTCTATTTTATTTTTTTGGGGGGGATGGAATGGTGGATGGATTGAATACTTTTGTGGTGACTTATTTCTTGCTTTTCTCTGTCATACAAACAACTTAACATCCTCAGTATAATTTGGGTGGGTATTTGTGTGTGGGGCAACCAAACCTCTTTATTCTTTTCTCTAGCAGTTTGAAATTTCTGCCAATTTAAAAGCTTATAAATCCTTTTTGTTAATTTACTGAGAGCTCTAAGTAAATGATCTTACTACATATTGAGATGGTTTTATTTTGCTTCAAAATATTGGAATAAACAATAGAAGATAGTTGCCCATAAGAACTATCTTCTATCATTTTTTCCTATTATTTAAGGAATTTGTTCTAAAGAAGCATTTTGCTTTTTCCGCTTGCCTTTGTATCATCCTCTGCTGTGTGTTCTGGGCTGGGAAACTACAGATTATATTTCCTAGGCTCTGTTGACACTGCAGATCAGAATGACACAGGAAGAGAAAGGCTTCTAGCTTCTGGCTCCTGCCCTTTGAAAACTGCTGGTAGTTTTGCAATGGTAATGAGGTGAGGTCATTCCAGACTGTACAGTACAAACAGAAGCAGCGATGGTCCTTCCTTAGCATTCCAGTTCAGCCCTGACAGCTTCCAGCCGCAGAGCACCAAATGTGTGCTCCCCAGCCAGGAGCATTAGCAACACCGGAACTCTGGGAATTCTCTCTTTTTCCTTCTTGCTCCTATAGCCCCCATCGTATTTTGTTCTTCCAGATATTCCAGTACCTGTGTTAATCAATTTCTTGTTATGTGTTTAGATTCCTACTGTTGTTTCTGTTCTCCTGATTGGAGCCTTCCTGATAAAGTAGTCATAAGAAGCCACTAGACATCCTCTACTACACACAGAGCCTCTGTCTTTGACACCAGAAGGCAGGGGCACCTCAACATTTATACTCCTTTTGGAAGTCACATGGTTTCACAAAAATGATGAAGTATATTCATGCTTCTGAGACGACAATGCAGTGGGGTGCCATACTATAAACTCAGCACAGCTTTTTTGGAAAGTAAATTTCACTTGAAGATTGTATTTTGAAAGACAATATATTTTTATTCTTAAAAGATTTGGGGCAGATAATTTTACTAGTAAATTCTACCAAACACCTAAGAAAAAATTAACACCAATCCTGCACAAACGCTTAAAAACAAACAAAAAACAGGAGGAGAATGAAAGGGCGAGGGTTACGCCCTCCATCTTACCCCAGATCCTCCATTTTTGGGCAGCAGCCATTAGCCATGTGCTCAGCAAGGAGCTTCTTCCTGGAAGCCCAAGCCTCTGCTAGCCACACCTACTATTTCTTTAAACTAACCAATGACAATCAAGGGAAGTGCGCACCATAGACACAACCACATCCTGTGTAACAAGACCCAGACTTGCGCCTGGCCAATTGGCAGGGCCCACAGTCCTCTTTCCTCCCCTTACTCCAACCCCCTTATAAAACCCCTCTTCCCACAGGGCTAGCTCTCTCTGCTCCCTGCCACCGTGTCAGCGAGTGTGGTTGGGGGGCACGAGCTAGCTCAAATAAAGACTCTATCTGCTTTTGCATTGGACTCGGCTGGCTCCCTGGTGGTCTATTGTGGATCCTGAAATCTGGGCTTGAGAGAACACTTTACATTTCAGTCTGTGAGGCCAATATTAGCCTCATATCAAAGAAAAAAAAATCTTGGTCATGCTCCCTGCTGTTGTTATAGTCAGTTATATTTGGGGTTTAAAAAGAAACTGGCAGGGGGAAAAGACATGCTTCCTGAATGATGCTCCATAGTTCTCACTTGCCTGAAGGGTGTCTTGAAATGACTGGTTGAGAGATGAATGCTACCTTTGCTCTTTATTTTTAATTGAAACACTAACAATTTTATTAAATATTGATGTTTATTCATGAATTTTATAAGGATACTTTATTTATTTACTTATTTTTGTTGTTGTTAATCCTCTCCTGAGGTTATTTTTCCAATGACTCTCTTTTTAGGGAGGGGAGAGACAGAGAGAGAAACATCGATGTAAAAGAGAGACATGGATTGGTTGCCTCCCGCACCCCTCCTGACCAGGGCCAGGGATTGAGCCTGTAACCCAGGTAAGTGCCCTTGACCAAATCAAACCTGGGACCCGTCAGTCTGTGGGCTGACATTCTGTCCACTGAGCCAAACCCGGCTAGGGCTGTAAGGATAATTTATAATAAAATAACCAGTAAATGAGTTTAAAAAGACACAAGCTGTACTTTTAATAAATGGAAAAACACACACTGGTGCGTGCAGGAAAACAGGGTTACAGTGCTGATATTAGGGAAGATCTCCTCTCAAAGCCTTGGTCTTCCTTTTCTTTGTGTATTAATGGGCTGGAAAAAAATGCTGAATTTTATTGAAAATTAGCAGAATTAATTATTTCTTAAATCCTCACCCAAGGATATTTTTCCATTGATTTTTAGAAAGAGTGGAAGAGAGAAGGAAAAACAGAGAAATATCAGTGTATGAGAGAGAGACATCAATTGCTTGCCTCCTGCACGAGCCCTGGCCAGGGCCCTGGCCTGGAAGAAGCCTGCAACCGAGGTACGTGCCCTTGACTGGAATGGAACCTGGGGCCCTTTGGTCTGCAGGCCGATGCTCTATCCACTGAGCAAAACCCGCTAGAGCAGAAACACTTAGATGCTTATCTTTTTAGATATATATGCAAAGAATTAGAAAATTAGTTTGAAAACTTGCTCTTTGACATATATGTGCTGGCTTAAGGCAGAGAAAAATGAAGAACAGATTTTCAATATAATGGAATTACTCTTTTCAGAGAGTTGAAAATGTGTTATAACAATGATTAAAACATGGGTTAAAATGATAAATCATTGCTTTGCCTAAGGATAAACTGTAGTTCTCAAAGGTGGCTTATTCAGCAAACAGTTTATGGGTGAATTCTTTACGAGTGAGGTTGTGAGAGCTTTTGCTGGGTGTGTTAAGATTGCCGCAGAAACAGTGTGAGAATTGTGAAGAGTTGACTTTATTGACAATGGAATTTTGGAAACTTTAATTCAATTGTATGTGATAAAAGTTAGCCCACATATATGTTTTTCTCCCTTTGAAAAGGCCCTTCAACTATTTTTCCCTTAAGACAATAAAAGAGGCAGCCTTAAAATATTTCATATGACATGAGTCACTTGATTTTTCAACTAAAAGATGCCCAACAAAATTTCTTCCAATGTTCTGGTATTTTACCTTATGGATTGGATTATGCTTATAAAGTTTGCAAAACAGTAAAAAAAATTACAATTCATGCACAGTTTTAAGTAGATTCACATTCTCAAAATATGGTGACACTATGACAAGAAAAGAAATTACTATACAAAGTAAATTAAGGTTGGCTCAATTTTATGAAATAAGTACATTCAGCCAAGCTGTGATTAAATAAGGAAGCAGAGAGGAAAACTTGTTTTGTTTTTCTGGATAGCACGATTAAAACATTTTAAAATTTTGTTAATTTATTCAACAAACATTTATTGAGCCTACTATCTGCCAACACTTTTTTAAGTACTTGGCATAATCAGTGAACAAAGACAAAAATCCCTACTTAAAGACTGTAAAAATTTTCAAGTTAAACCTCCCCCAAATTTGAAGAATTTTAAACCCTATCCAAGACCTTTGAATAGCTATTTATTTTCTCTGCTCTTAGAGAACTTACTGGAAACATTCAAGAAACACTAATCTAGATGCTTTCTTATTTCTATACATATGTAGGTAGTTCATTTGAGGACTAGAAGGCTGCTTGAGTGAGTGTGGGAAAAGTGAGCTGGTGGAATTGGGTAACCTTGAGGGATATCTGTGTGACATATATCAGTCTGGGGGAACCTCCTACTCCCACGACAAAACAGAACAGACCTGGGTCCAGAAATTTCATGTTCTCAGACCCTGGTCTTTTCCACCAGACAGCAGTGGATCAACACTGAATATTCTTACTCTTGGGGATCTATGCTCACCCACTTCATGTATACAAGTTTGTGATATTCTAGATTATTCTAAAAATGGTCTTACCATTTGATTATGTGCCTGTTGTTGTGGTTTTTCGTTTTTAACTTTTATTAGATAGAAATATTACTTTTCATTTCTGGGGTGTCTATTTTTGCTTTTATTGTCTATTATATGAAGGTATAGATGGTTTACTTTATGTATTCAATTATCTGGATAAAATTTTAGATTCTGGTGATAGTCACAAGAAAATAACAATAACAGGAGCTGAGAAGAGTATCAGTCTTCACCTCATCATCTTTGCCTTTATCTTTTTAAGTCCCTTAAAGTTTGGTCCCCTGATGGTCTCCTATCAATTCTAGTTCCTGCAGATATCCCAGATGAGAGTTCAAGCTGCACTGACCCTCCCTTATTTCAGCTTTGTGGTGATTACACTTCTGGTTGCCTATACGTGGGTCCTTCACTGGCTACCCAAGTCTTCTTGGGTCCCAACATCCGTAAAGATTTTTTGTGCTGGTGAAGACCCCTCCATTCTTGGTTCTGATGGAAATTTCCCTCCCTACCACTAGCTGCATCTCCTAACGTTCTTTCATGCTGGTTTCCAGGACTGGGCTTCTTCTAGATCTAGCATCTTACTTTTGCCAATTTCTTTCCCTGGACACTTCATTCCTACCCTGGTCCTGGACCTACTATCTGGTCTCAGCTCCTTTATGAAGAATCACCTTGAAGATGACCACCTGCCTGAGTTCTGAGCACGATCCCTCCTGGAGTCTTTGATGATGTGCTTTTCCAAGGCTCTTGATTTGCCTGGGAAAGCCTAGTATTTGTATTTGTTGAGTTAAATTAATTTAGGTTTGGTTCCCTAGGCTATACCACCACCAGCTTCCTTTTTAAAGAGGTGATATGCCTGGTCTCAACTTTTCTCTCCTTGCCAGGAATTCCGTAAGAAAAATCTATTATCCCCAGTGATCTATCTTCTGAATCTTAACATACAGAGACTATTGTCCCCTTTCACTCCTACTGGTAACTTCCTTTAAAAATAGAGTAAATAGTCCTATGGCTATCATTGAAAATTAACTATTTCACTCCAGATATCATTAACTCAGAAAATAATTTACTGAGCTAATTGTAATACAGAACTTCTGGCAAAGATTGAAATGAAAAAAAAAACCACACACACACACACACATATTTTAGGAGATGCTAGGTTGAATTGCATACATTTTGAGTTCAGACTTTATAAAAACTTTCAGCTTTAATGAAAATCAGTGTAGGAAAGAAGAAAAACAAAAATATTCTCACTGTATTTAGATTCCACAGCAGGTGTTCCACACCTATCCTATCTGGTAGCTTCCAATGACTGAAGGAGATCTCAATATCAAATAGTGGTTTGTCACAAATGTGCCTCAACTAATTTTAAAAAATTTTTGTAGGGAATCAGATTCTCTTTTCTTAGGCCCAGATGTGTTTTCAGAATGACATGGAGTATGGCTAAATCCTCTATGTAGACGATAATCATGTTTTGTGCATGATAATTTGGCCATCTTTATTGCAAAAACAGAAAAGCTATAGATAATTTTTGATAAGGTGAATTATGCAAATACCATTTATATTTTATATTTGGCTTTGACATAAGGGTTTATAGAGAACTTGTGCAAGTGTTAGACACATGCACACACAGGCACAAACACACACACACACACACAAACTAAAGGATTCTTATTCCTTTCTGAGATAACCCATAATTTCAGTAATCCTCGGTTGAAATAATTAAGATTTCCTCTCCAAAGCCTGCTAGGGGAAACTTTCATGATACAAGTATTTCTAACCAAATATTTCAAAAATGTTTACAAATCCCTTAAATCACTCAATGATGGCATAATGAAGGGTATGGTGTTGGAAAGAAAATGCCCATCTGAAATAAAAACTACTCATTAAAAATCACAATACATCAAAAATATTTTTCAAGGGTAATTTCCTTAATAAGTTTTTCCATTAAAATTTACAAAATACTCTAAAAGAGAAAGCAGAGCATTCATGTAATCTTTGTTCTAGTTTCTTCATCTTTACAACCAAGGGGATGTACTAAATGCTAAGTTTTTTCAGCTCTAATGTTTTATGATTTTAGCCAACGTGTTAAATTGTGTTCCACTGTTTAAATCGTTAATAGAAAACATGGCTTAAAATTATAAAGCCTAATATATAACACTTTTAATTTATAGATAACAAAGGCAAGTCCCAAGGAAGTAATGTGGCTACCCAACCATTTGGGTATCAATGCCATTCCTTCCATATCTTCCTAATCATCAAATAATTTTGATTTTTTATTTGTTTTGTTGTATTAAAAACTCCATATTCCCACTCCCCACATCTGGAAAATCTGCTTTAGTAATTATGGGGTGAGGTCAGAAATCTAATTTTGTAAGAGATCCTCAATATTCTGACTTGAACTTAAAGGCCAGAACCACAGATCCACAGCAAACTACCTGGGATACAGTGACGCAGAGGCTCAGGAATGTTGTACAGTTCTTGGGCAGGCTCTCCGAGGTTACACAGCAGCATCTTCCTAACAGGTCCATCATTTGATGCTACCACCTCCCTATTGTTTTCTCCCTCCTGTGTGAAATACATATTATATGAATGACATCACCTGTGTCTAGGTTATTTTTCTCTGATAGCCCTCCTAGGGAAAAGGATATTCCTGAAAGAAACAAGAATGAAAAGAGTGGATCGATACCATCTGCTCCAACCTCACATTCTAGAAGTTTAACTCCGCTCAACTCCTAGAAACTCCCTTATTGGAAAGTATAAATCTGTCCAACACCATGCAACAGTCTTGAGCCTGTTAAGGCAGTCTGGGATTTGGAAATTATTTACTTGGTGTATTATGAAGTGAATTTCTCTAAATTGCTAGACTATATCATAAGGAGAAGGCTCTTTGGATACTTCTGTCATAAGAATTTCTTGACCTTTTTGGTAGTCAAAGAAAAGCTTAAATAGACTTAATATCTAATAATATGGTTGGTTTTATACAGACACAATGGAGAGCAAAATTGCTTCTAAGAGATTCCGTGCTCCTCAACATTCATATATCTGTCAGTTTCCAATACAGATTTTATGTGTCCGCTGTACGCACATTGTGGCCAAAAAATGTTTCCACCCCTTATGCTACCCATGGGTGCCAAAGTTTAGTTTAAGGCTTTTTTATGTAGCACACTATAAGAAATACAGTACAGTTCAGCCCTCAATAAGACATCATTCCTTATCTTCCTTGTTCACAAAGAAGTAAATTAATATTTTACCTACTAATTTTAGGAAAAAATAAATGACTTACCTCTAAAGATGAGTGACTCCAAATAAAGTAGCTGAACTAAAGCTTACTACAATTTTAATAAAGGGTAGAATTCAACATAATTTCATTTCTTTTTATATCCTATTTAAAGGATGTTTGTTACTGAATTTGACAAAATAATTCATTTTAAGTCATGTTGTTTATAAGGCAGTCTCATGATACTAGCTCTGAGGAGCAAGTATATATTTAAAGCCATAATAGACTACCAAATGGCATATAAAAGCTTTTGTGAACATTTTATGTTTGCTTTAGAAGGCTGATCTATTAAACCTGTGACAATTTTATTTATTTAAAAGAGTAAAACAGGAGATCAGTGGTATTATCCTTATATGGGTTAAGAAACTATTTATGAGTTGCACATAGAAATCTACCAATATAGATATGTGTATAATTCTTATTTTTCAATGTAGTTGGGCCAAGGAAATTGTCAGTTAATATATGTACTTCATATGCTGTAAGTGGATACCTAGGAAAAGGTATACAAAATATAAATAGTACTGTATATTTTCAAAAAAGTTAAATAAACACAAAGAATATATAGGTATACATGTTATAATTTCAAAGTCAACGCTAACACATAAGTTCTCTTATCTAAATACACACTAGGATACTTCCTACTTCAACACATGCACCTACAAACACACGGCCATGCACATAACCTTGCTTTCTGCCACTTGCAAGAAAGTTGGTATATACAATATAGTACACTGTTTCAACTTAAATCATATTGGAAAATTAATGAGGATGGCATTAAAAAATTCTGATCTAAGAAATCAACATGTAGGAGGATAATTATTCCATAGATTAAAAACACTGAAGACTGATGAGAAGTTAAGATTTAAATTGTCCCAGAAATCTTGAAAGATACCGAAGAGACAGGATTGCCTGTAAACACTTAGAATTATCTGTTTGGCAACTGGGATTTTTGAAATCTAGCAATTCAGGCCAGAGACTTAGACCATTGGTGCTTCAGATCGCAGAGAAATAGTACAGCTTTGGGCAGTTCTCCTCAAGGCGGGGGGCGCCGATGGAGATCTCGACGCCCATCTGGATGGGAGACGGCGATTTGCCGGTCTAGCTGGACGGGAAAATCCTTTTCCATGTGAACATTTCATGGCCATGGATTCCTACAACATCAAAGAAAACATTCACCTCACTATCCCAGCACTAACATTGGACTTGATATTTTATGAATCCCAACAATGGGATTGATGTATTAGCATATTTATAAGCAAGAAAAAGCATCAAAAACTAATGGCGATGATCTAATATTTGTGATCTTGAATGTTTTAATCAAAGCAATTCACTTAGAATAAGAAACATGACATTTAATAATCTCTTCACATTGACAAATTTTAACACAACTGATCTCCTTTTAGATCTAAAGTTCAGTATTTAGAAGTTCATGTTAGGTAACTTTGATATAATGGAACTGCAGATGTTTCTTGGCGGAATTTCACAATGTTTCAGTGTTATTTGAAAACAAGAAAATTTATAGAAGAAACTTCATTTTTCTCAAGTTACTGACATTTTTAGAAGCCATAAGCAAAAAGTACACGAACCATCACGTGATTTACCTGGTGCCTTCTTTCTTCTCCACTAAGAGCCACTGTTACAAGTTCTCAAAAATTTCAAAATTGCTAATAGTTACTATCAATATTGGGCATCATTTGAGACAGTATTTTTCCTTTCCTCCCCTTCCCTTTCTTTCACTTCTTCCTTCTTTGCTTTTTTATTTGAATGGAAGAAAAGCATTCTCAGACTCTTGCAATTAAAAAGAAAATTAAAAAGCTTGTGTGACCCATTTTATAGCTTAGGTTGTTAACTGACCTTTTTAACAAAGCCTTTGCTCTTTTATCTGGGATTGGCAGTGAGGATGGCCTCAATTTCTATGACAGTCACCTGCATTTTCTTTTTCTTTCATTGGAATTTATTTTTTTGGAAAGAAGAGGGATCCTAAGGATCCACAGTAGAGGACTCCTCCCAAGCCTCCAATCAATGCAAAAATGGTAAATACTTAGTAATAGTTCTTGTTAGCTAATGAGAATTTGGCTGGTTATTGTATACACTATGGGCCTGTGCCCTCTCACAGTCTGGGAGCCTTCGGGGGAAGTCCTACTTAGGACTCCCCCCCCCCCCCCCCGGCCCCCCGTGGAAGTGCACTGACCACCAGGGGGCAGCTTCTGCATTGAACATCTGACCCCTGGCAGTTAGTGCGCATCACAGCGACCAGTCGTTCCGCCGTCGGGCTGAAACCAGCTCTCCAACATCCCCCAAGGTGTCCCAGATTGCGAGAGGGTGCAGGCCAGGCCGAGGGACCCCACTGGTGCATGATCAGGGCCGGAGAGGGATGTGGGAGGTTGGCCAGCTGGGGAGGGACTGCGGGAGGGCTCCAGGGTATGTCCGGCCTGTCTCACTCAGTCCTATCGGCTGGACCCCAGCAGCAAGCTAACCTACGGGTTGGAGCGTCTGCCCTGGTGGTCAGTGCACGTCATAGCGACTGGTCTACTGTCTGCCCCTGGTGGTCAGTGCACGTCGTAATGAGCAGTTGAGTGGCCTTAGCATGTCATTAGCATATTATGCTTTGATTGGCTGAACGGCCAACTGGATGACGGGACACATAGCATATTAGGCTTTTATTATATAGGACTAGAGGTCCAGCACATGAAATCATGTGCGGGTAGGATCCCTAGGCCTAGCCTGCAATTAGGACTATCTTCCGCCCGCTTGCCAGTCCCTAGTCCCTCCCTGCCGCCACCACCCACCCAGGTTCTGGGTGGTTCCCTGTTCGCCATCTGGCAATCAGAGCCTGTGGGCCGGGGAGAGGGACCAAGAGGTCGGCCATTCCACCTGCTTGCCAGTCCTCAGTCCTTCCCCACCGCCACCTACCCGTTTCCTGTTTGCTATCAGGCAATCGGAGCCTATGGGCCTGGGGGGGAGGGACCAAGAGGTGGTCAATGCACCTCATAGCAGCTGGTCAAGTGGTCATTCTGGTCATTATGCCGTTATGGTCGCTGGGCTTTTATTATACAGGATGTTTCCATTTCCCACCTGAAGCTACAGGTCCTTACAGGTATTTATGGGCTCACCTAAAAAAGATACAGCCTGGCAAGCATGGCTCAGTGGTTGAGTGTTGACCTATGAACCAGGAGATAAAGATTCAATTCCTGGTCAGGGCACATGCCTGGGTTGCAGGCTTGATCCCCGGTGTGGGGCATGCAGAAGGCAGCTGATCAGTGATCCTCTCTCATCATTGATGTTTCTTTTTTCTTTTCTTCTTTTTTTTTTTTTAATTTTAAGGAGTCCTGTCCTGGGCCAACTATCCTTGGCCAACAGCAGGCAGCATCGCAGGTGACATTAACACCAGCCCAGGCAGTCATGTTGAATGATGTGAGGGCACTCAAGCTGGCCCCAAACAAGACCGAGTGCCATTTTCTTTTTCTTTCAAATGCAGTTCTTTTCCAACATTGCTTATTAACAGCTTTGGTGCAGAGATTTGGGGACCAGGGAGGTACATGGAAAAAAGAAAGGAAAAAAGTAGCCAATTGCACAAAGCCTTTCCCTGGAAAAGCCCAGACTCTGGGGTGCTCAGAACATGTGGCTGCCCTCCCCCTACACTCTGGAGCTCTGGCTTTGCTGGTTGAGGCACAGATGGGGACCCATCCCATTCCCCATGTATAAGAGCTGCCTGGGAGAGGGAGAATGGCTGCTTGTATCTCTCTCTCTCTTTCTCTCTGTGTATATGTATAATAGGCTATATTAGAAAATTCTCCCTATATAAATATAAAACATTGGTATCCAAACACCACAACTAACTAAAGTGCTTGACAGGAGTTGGACATGTCTAAGTATGTAGGTAAAACTAGTCATTCTGAGTGTCCAGGATGAGGGAGAGAGCTGGGGAAGCAAAAACCATGGAGAAAAGGTTGTGCTGGCCAAAGCCAGGGCACAAGGGCACTGTGGTCCCCCAGCGCCTTCTCAGCCTGTCTGGTCACTATCATCATTGATGTTTCTATCTCTCTCTCTCCCTCTCCTTCTCCCTTCCTCTCTGAAATCAATAAAAATATATTAAAAAAGAAATTAAAAGAAAGATACATATGTGCACCCCATGTTCATTGTAGAGTTATTTATAATAGCCAAACTATAGAAGCAACCCAAAAGACAAGTAGGTAAAAAGGCTGTGGTGCATATACACAATGGAATATTATTCAGCCATAAAAAAGAATGAAATCTTACCATTTGTATGGATAAACCTAGAGTACTCTAAGTGAAATAAGTCAGTTGGTTAAAGAAAAATACCATATTATTTAACTTACATGTGGAATCTAAAGAATAAACTAAATGAACAAACAAAACAGAAACAGACTCATAGATACAAAGAAGAGACTGATGATTGCCGGAAGGGATGGGGTTGGGGAACTGGGTGAAAAAAGGTGAAGAGATTGAGAAATTCAAATTAATAGTTACAAAACGGTCATGGGGGTGTAAAATACAGCATTGGAAAAAAAGTCAATAACATTGTAATAACTATGTATGGTGCCAGATGGGTACTAGAAATATTAAGGGGAACACTTTGTAAAAGTATATGATTGTCTAACCAGTATGCTGCACACTGGAAACTAATACAAAGTAATACTGAATGGAAACTGTAATTGAAAAAAAAATTTTTAATGTAAGAAAAAAACAAAGATACAAAAGCAGGATAATCATTTGTACATTATGCAAACTTGTACAAGGTCTCTGATAAAATGAATGAAAACTGATATTTTTGTAGGGTTTGAAAGCCACCTAAAATATATTTTTTTACACAAGAAGGAAGTAACCTGCATAGCTTAGAACTATGCTGCCTACATACTGCATTATGTAAAACAAGAACTTTTAAAATATTAGCTAATTATAATAACATGTCACCTTGTAAGCTTTTGTAAATTATGCATACAAGGGGACTATTGGATAACTCTTCTTGGTAAATACCAATCTCTTCTTCCACATCTTTTTCACCTATAACTAAAGAAGATTATATATACTCTTGCAAACTGTCTGGAACAAAAATAGAATACCATTTATTCAAATAATATTTTTTTTTTTGGGGGGGGCAACTTCCATGCTAAGAATTTATACAAATAAGAATGACCTTAACATTTTTTAAGTTATAATGTCATTTTTTATTTCAATGTACTGCCTGCTAGCTCCACAAATAAGAGAACTTTATAAGATGCTACTTTAAATATGTTTTGCCCATATTCTCATTTAGGAGATTAATCCCATGAGAAAAAACATGAATCAAATGCTGGGAATGACTGAACCATTCATTGTTAATAACTAAAAAGCACAAGCTATTTTAAAAATATTTCCCATATACTTTAAAAGAATGAAATTCTATAAATCAACAAATACATATTCAGAATACCTTTTCAAAAAACTTAAAACAAACATTTGCACTTCTGGCTGTTCTTAAGCCTATTCTATATATATAAATGGCTAATATGCATGGTCCCCGCCGGAGTTGGACCAGGAGACAAGGAGTTCGATCGCTTGCTATGACCACCAGGGGGCGGCGCAAATCATGGCGGGTGACCAGTGGTGGCAGTGTGCTAAGGAAGGGAGGGAAGGAGGAGCCAGAGAGGCAGGGAACCCAATTGGCCCTGATCACCAGCCAGGCTAGCGACCCTATCTGTGCATGAATTTCGTGCACCAGGCCTCTAGTTTATTATATTTGTTAGCCCATTTCAGAATTTTAAAAAGTTATAATGTGCTAACCCCAGTTTTGAAACTACATTTTGAAAAGTTCATTTGAGTTACAGTTAAGGTTCATAGTCATTAACAAGTGAAGGATCAAAAAGTTAAGATGCCAAAACATACACCCGCATTCTATTTATATGAATGCAAGGGACTGAGCCCTGAGCCATGGCTAAATACGAATGCAATTCTACCAAAGTATGATCATTGCTTTCTCACCTCTGTTATCTTTTTCCAGTCCACTCCTTGCTTCACTTGTTGTGCCCTACACAAAGCTGTTTTTCCTTGAAGCTCTTGTTCAATTTGGAGCATTTCTAAATGCTGACTTAATGTGGCCCCAACACTGACATCAGAATTACATTTGGTCCAATTATCCTGGCAGCATTTAGAATTTTGCAATACAGGCCCTGTTGATGTCTCATAGGTTTTCAGCAGCTTTTCCACAACACCGTAATTCGACCTAGGATCAGCTGATCTTGGTCGGCCAGACAAATTGCTAGGTCTCCAGTCATGCTCGTGGAGCATATTCCGGTAACTACTGGGAGTTACGTGCTCCTGTGTTTGTCTGACTGGGCCTGTTGTGGATCTTTTGGTGGGATTATCAGGCACATTTTCTCTAGGCACGGGCACGTGGGCACTGGTTTTCAGAATACCAGACACATTGTCATTTTCTGGTATGTTGCCTATACGAGTAATTAAGGTATCACAGGGCTTAAGATCTTGAGACGATTCTGAGTAGCTTTGGTTTTGCTGTACTGCACGACAATTTCTATCTGTTCGGAACACGGTTCTATTAAATTCATCAGTCTTTGCTGCCAGTGTTTCATTCCTAGTAGTCTTTTCAAAGCCACAACTGAAACTTCTAAGCGGGCCACTGCTCTGTGTCACCAAGGAACTATAGTCATCGCTTACGTGAAGGTCAGAGTGAAATTTAGCAGGATGATCTGGGGTCATCTTTTCATATTTTGACTTATTGGGAGTAGAACAGGTTTTCTGAAACCACAAGGTAGAAGGGCTATTTTTTGTGCCTATCACTGTGTCGTAAGACCACATGCCACATCCAACATCTTCACTACATGGAGGCTGGTTATCCATTTTGGCTTCAGGTGCCAAAGAAGAAAAGATGATACCATCTTTCAAAGTCTTCCCTTCATTTAGACACAGTGTAGGCATCTCGTCATGCCTCAGGAGGACATGAGGACTGCAGTTCCTTTCACCTTGACCCTCTTGGACCACCTGGCTATTGTGGCCTAAACTTTCCTTCAAACTTTCATGGGCTTGTTCAGGATACACACTGGGAAAACTTCGAGATGTACTTCTTGGAGGAGGAACTGGTGGAGTTTCATTTCTTTGTATTGGATCAATTGTATCAATTCCACATGTTTTCATAAAATTGCTTTGGAGCATGTCAGTATAACTCAGATTCTTTCTATTTTTCTGTTTTTCTTTTTCTAAACTGATCGGAAGAACACACTGGCCATTGTTGATCCCATGGTCTCCAGGGGACATGTTCATTATATGTGGCATTTCTTGGAGAGAAGAATCTGACTTCATCCTAAACAATGATAAAGTATGATATAATAGTGAAAACTTTATTTAGGATAAGCTCAAAACAAAAACAAACATGGCTTAAGCAATGGATTTCTGCTATAGGAAAAGGAGTCACAACTTCCTGAAGCATCGTTTTTTACATAAATCGTCTAGTCAAAGCCTCTAAGTCTTTTTTACTGTAGGACAAAGCCCACCTCTCAGTGCTGCACTCAAGGCTCTGCTTACTCTGACCCAAACTATCCTTTGCAACCTTGTCTCTCATTTTTTTTTTTTCTATTTCCTAAAACTTCACCTATACTCAGACTCTTGAGTATTCCCATTTCTACAAGTTTTCTCTAGGTATTTCCTTACCTCTGCTCTGCCTGCTGAATTCCTATGCATTATGTCACCTGAGCCCTTGAATTTGAAGTAATATTCTAAGTAGTGTGACAGAAATCTGAATAAAAGCACAGCAAGACCCGGGTAATACCAAATGGAAGGTGTCATTTGGGCTTGAAAGAAAAGTAAGAATTTGGGGGGTGAGTAAAGGGCAGATCAGCAAAGTGAGCTGCAGTAAAAGCAGTGTGGCTACTCAAAAAACAGTGAGTACGTTGGTGTGGATGGATTATAAAGCTGAGTGGGGAGAATGGTGGAAAATAAGTGAGAAACATTAGGTAATTGTAATGTTTTTGAATTACATGTTAAGGATTTTGAAATTTTCCCTACATGCCATGAAGTAACAAGGAGAATTTTATACTAATTTGTAAAAGAAAACTGGCAAGTAAGTCTTTTCAGAGTTCATCAAAATAAAAGCCTACATATAGCAACATGGGGATTCACAAATTAAAGTTAATCATATTGACAAAATATAAATCATATTTATAATTCTTCAACTTATAAAATATTGTCTGCTAGCTCACAATAAAGTACAGATAAATACTAATTAACAGAGAGTAGTAGACAAAAGCTAAATGGGAAAGTAGAGAGCAAAATTACGGATAAAACAAGGTTGAAGAAAATATATTTTAAGTCAGTAAGAAAATTCTCTCTGAGCTTCCTAAGAGCTCAAGAGAAATAAGGGTACGCACATTGCTATAGCTTTGTTGTTGTTGTTGTTAATCCTCACCTGAGGATATTTTTCCATTGATTTGTAGAGAGAGTGGAATGGAGGGGAGAAATAGAGAGAAACATCAATGTGAATTGGTTGCCTCCTATACAGACCTGACCAGGGCCGGGGATCAAGCCTGCAACCAAGGTATGTGTTTTTGACCAGCATCGAACCTGGGACCCTTCACTTCAGTCCACAGGCCAACACTCTATCCACTGAGCCAAACTGGCTAGGGCTCATTGCTATAGCTTTCTAAGAGAATTATCCTGCCTCACCTGGAGATAAATGTTGATCCTAGGACAACCCATCTTTACCTAACTTGTATAAAATTCCAATTAATGTTTTAATTTGGCTAAAACTTGCTTTTACACTTATAGAGGTATTTCTGAATTGAAACACTATTTTTATAGCACTGTAAAATGTGTGTACATATTTTTAGTATGTTCTGAAAATTATGTATGCTTCCATTAAACACATAATAAACTAGAGGCCTGGTTCACAAATTTGTGCACAGTGGGGACCCTTAGCCTAGGTGATGATCAAGGCCTATCTGGGGGCCAGCCGGCTGGGGTAAGGGGCTGCGGGAGGTTGGCTGTGGGAGTGCACTCTCCAACAGGGCGCAGCTCCTGCATTGAGTGTCTGCCCCCTGGTGGTCAGTGTGCATCACAGCGACTGGTCAACCAGTCGTTCGGTCATAACTGCCGCTTAGGCTTTTATATATATAGATATAGAGAAATAAATGACCCTTAGGTATAAAACATTTTAGTGCAACATCATTATGTAATTAAGACACAATGTTGTTAAATCTGACATAGTTTAAGATGTATGTAACTGGATTAGCCCAGTTGTATACTCTTCCATTGGCTAAATATTCAAAATGAGGAAAAAAAATAACTTCTTAAGAGTAAAGTATTCCTAATAGTCAAATTACAAAGAGAATTAGAAGACCTGTTTTAAGAATTACCAAACAGGGAAATATTCAATTAAAGATGTTATCACTTATCTAAGACAACAGATTTTAATAACTCATTGCTAATTATCACTAACAAAGTGTACGGAATTCACTGATGGGAAGCAGTATTTTTCTTGACTTCCCAACATAAAATAATCATCGATGTCCCAGCCTACCTTCTATGGTTAGACCGCTTTCGGATTTCCTCTTGGAAGCTGCATAATTCTTCACTGACTTTGGCAAGTTCTTCAAGAGCCTTTATGTATATAAGCAATAGCGTGTTAGCACTTTGAAATGTAAACAATTCTTTAGAAACAGTTCTAGGCCAGTCATGTTACTTACTGTGTTGAGGGCGCCAGAACAGCTCTTGCTCGCTTCCTCAGAAGTCCTCAGGTCAGACCAGGCCTCACATTCCTTTTGCCTGTCTGTGGCCAGGGGATCCATAAACCCTACCTTTAATTTTTTGGTTGCTTTTTGTTCCTTACACACTTGATTTCCTTCACTGAGTAAGCTCTGCTCTGTTTTATTGTCTTTTTCCAGACCGGCCCTGTGATTCATCCCTGTAAATTCGCATGGTCCCGAATTGGGGTACTTTGGAGAAGATTCCACCACTTTATCTTGCATGGCTTTCTCACGATCAAGATCAATGGCCTTGGCACGTTCACTCATGTTGATTTTCCTCCGAAGCTTTACTTCATGGCAAAGCTATAAGGCAAACAAAGGCAAGACTTTTTTCCCTCCTTAATTTACTTTGTCATATTTTTTAAGCTAAGCACACTATTTTGAGTTCTCTTTGCTATATGACTATATACCACCCATGGTATTAATGCTTATGCCTCTGAATAGTGCTTCTAAAATCTTAATTAGCCTGGCTGGTGTTGCTCAGTGGTTGAGCATCAACCTATGAACCAAGAGGTCATTGATTTGATTCCCCATCAGGCCACATACTGGGGCTGCAGGCTCAGTCCCCATTAGGGGGCGTGCAGGAGGCAGCCAATCAATGATTTTCTCTCATCATTGATGTTTCTATCTCTCTCCCTCTTCCTTCATCTCTGAAATCAATAAAACAAAAATATATAAAAACAAAAATAAAATCTGAATTAGCTAGAAAACTTTGATAAACCATAAAGACTACTTTTCATGGGCCAATCCACAGATGATAGTTTCTGTTTTTCTGATTAGAAAGCAACTCAGTCAAAATTAAATCAAACTGTATCTACATATAGATACTATACTACAGAAGCATTGTCACAATAGTGGAATGACCTGAATCATTTACTGGTCATGCTCTCTCATTGCTTTCAGAGAGAAGCAAGAGTTTAACTAACGTTAAAGTCATGTTTTTAAATACATGATCCCCCTTGTATACTGACCTTTAACTGTGTAAATAAGTTGACAATCTCATAGAGTCAGTTTATTCTATCCCCTAAGTAGACATTTTACAATCAAAGGATGTTTCCACTGGAAGCTATATTGGTGAGGGCTAGTTAATATTGAGGTTTTTTTTAAATGCCAGGTTATAAACTTTTAAAAAAAGTTTTTAATCCTGATTAAAACAAATGTGAACCTGTCTTATGTGATATAAAAGAACTCTAAGGTTTTGATCGTCTATTAATCTGTTAAGTGGACCCAAATTATTTCTTTTTTTAAAAATTCTCACTTGAGGATGTTTTCATTGATTTTTAGAGAGAAAGGGAGAGAGAGAGAGAAGAAGAAGGAAAATCATCAGTGTGAGAGAGAAACAGATCAGTTGCCTTCCGTATGCATCCTGACTAGGAATCAAACCCTCAACCTAGGTATGTGACCTGAATGGGAATCGAACCCATCATCTTTTTGGTATACAGGACAATGCTTCAAATAACCAAGCCACCCGGACTGGGCTCCCATATTGTTTCCTGTTGAGAACTTAGTTTAACCTGCAGGCACTCATTCAGCTCACCTCTGAATAAAGGAAATAAGTGGCTTTCTCTTCTGGCTTGAGTTCTGGGAAAGCTTGTCAAATTTCAAAGGAGGCAATCAAATAACCATTAAAACCAATGACTACATTTTACAGCCACAACCTATATTTGCACTACATCTATTATTTAAGGAATAACAGATTTATTGCTGCTCAATATTTACCTGAATCTCAGATGAGAGAGCACTATATATAGTTGACGCCTGAAGGTTATACAGTGCATTTATTTCCCTAGATATTTATAAATCTACTAGAGGCCCGGTGCACGAAATTCATGCACTCGGGGTGGGGGGAGGGGAAGGTGGTCCCTCAGCCCGGCTTGCGCCCTCTCGCAGTCTAGGAGTCCTCAGGGAATGTCTGACTGATGGCTTAAGGGCCTAAGCCAGCAGTTTGGACATCCTTAGCACTGCCACAGAGGTGGGAGAAGCTCCCACCAGAGCCACTGAGCTCACCAGCTGTGAGCCCACCTTCTGTCTGAGCGGCACTCCCACTGACCACCAGGGGGCAGCTCCTGCATTGAGCGTCTGCCCCCTGGTGGTCAGTGTGCATCATAGTGACCGGTTGTTCTGATGTCAGGCCAAAACCAGCTCTCTGACATCCCCCGAGAAGTCTCAGATTGTGAGAGGGCGCAGGCCAGTCCAAGAGACCTCACTGGTGCACAATCGGGGCCTGGGAGGGACCGCGGGAGGGCTCGAGGGCATGTCCGACCTGTCTCACTCACTCCCGATTGGCCGGACCCCAGCAGCAAGCTAACGTACCAGTTGGAGTGTCTGCTCCCTGGTGGTCAGTGCATGCCATAGCGTGCAGTTGAGCTGCCTTAGCATATCATTAGCATATTATGCTTTGATTGGTTAAACAGTCTCTAATTATACACTACATGCCTGCCTTCTCACATCTACCTTCGAGGAATAGTTTAATAGCTACACTTTTAAAAATACTTTCTTGTAGCATGCCAATTTGTATTTTATTCACAACCAACTACATGGCTGTTAATATAAAAATATTTTCACTACAAACACATAAAGCACCAGCTTTTATTGTCTCTGAATAAAGGCCAAGGAATCTATGAAAATAATTGCTTTGGCAATGTGCACCAAATCATGTAAGTCAAGACCATCGATGTTACCAGGAGAAAGCAAGATAAGAATGAATACTTTTTGGTTGTAACAAGCTTAAGTACACATCAATGTAAATGCTTAAAGGGAATATTCTGGGCTCAACATGTTGAGGGAAGGTTAACAGGGGAATAAATGACTATCAGATTCACAGGATGTCATTTTTCATTGCCATGGTAAACGGGGCATACCCTACCAGAATAAGTATCATGTCCATTGCCATTTTCTGTTTGAGATATGGCACCCTTTCTGAATTTACTGAATTATCTAATATGTAATTTCCTTTAATAGACATTATTCATAAATCATCACAGGGAAGATCTGCATTTTAATGCTCAATTGTAATTTGGCTGATTTGTTTTACCAATTATGTCTTTCTTACATTTTCCTCCTGAACTCAGTATTTGAAAATCATGAAAAATACATACCTTACTTTTGATACCAAGACACTCTAGTCAGAAAATAATAAAATGATACACTTTAGAGCAGTGGTTCTCAACCTTCCTAATGCCGCAACCCTTTAATACAGTTCCTCATGTTGTGGTGACCCCCAACCATAAAATTATTTTTGTTGCTACTTCATAACTGTCATTTTGCTACTGTTATGAATCGTAACATAAATATCTGATATGCAGGATGTATTTTCATTGTTACAAATTGAACATAATTAAAGCACAGTGATTAATCACAAAAACAATATGTAATTATATATGTGTTTTCCGATGGTCTTAGGCGACCCCTGTGAAAGGGTTGTTCAACCCCCAAAGGGGCGACCCACCGGTTGAGAACGGCTGCTTTAGAGTGACATTTCAAGTTCTTAATTTTCATGTCAGGCTATAAAATAAGCCTAGAACGTCTGATACCATTGGGTAAGGTTACACTATTTTTGGTGTAGTAAATGTCACTGAGACAAGCATCTCTTACGTGGGATTCAGAAAATAAAAATAGTTTGTAATATTTAAAAAAACAACAACACCTTCAACACCATTTTCATTCTGAGTTTCAAGTTTCAAATGTATTCAAAACAAATCAACTTGTACCTCTTCTATCTTCTTCTGCATGATCTTCCATTGGGTTTCCCATTCCTTCCTTTCATTGTCAAACTGGTCCAGTAACTCCATCTTTTCCTTGTGCCAGGCAGTCCCTGTGCTCTCCCACTGCTTGTGCAGGTCCATGGCAACCACGTGAGTGTGACTGAAGCGGTTTCTGCTCGTCTCTGCCTTCTCTTCACTGTTTCTTGGAAGCTTAGAGTTGTTTTATTTGAAGCAGTCTCACTTGCCTTTAAAATAAAGCCTAATATACACAAGAAGAGAGAGTTTCAAACCCATCTGCTTTCTGGCAACATTTTATCACGTTGTCAAGAGCCATTGACATAAATTATAGGAAAAATTGGACTTAGAAGAAAAGAGATGGCAATCTACTTAAGAAGAAACAAACACAGTCAAAAAAATAAGTATTGTCTAAAGTTTTTTCTACCCCTTCCTAAGACTAGACAGCAAAATTATAGTGGACAAGATGGTTAAATGTATATGTGAGATATAAGGGTTCCTTTAACTAACCGCCTAATCCAAACATAGAATTTTTCATGGCTATCTAAGAGTGGAAGCCTAAAATTCAATTGTATGGGCACATCTACACAACCGTGGTAGATGCTGCTGCAATGGAATTACTCCTTCTGTTTGGATTATACAACCAGATTATATATTTCTGTGACTTGAAGTCCTGAGGCAGTGCTGACCTAGAGTCTCGATTTTATATTCAGAGTTCAAGCCCATCCCAAATGTGATTACTGCATTAATAAGACCCCAAAGTTGGTAAGTCAATCTAGGACTGGTATATTAGCAAGAAACCAAACTAAATCACACAAAAAATATGTTCATTATTTTACTTCAAGAAAAATGTAAAAGCAGCAAAACTATTCTGAGAGCCAAATGGTAAAATGTATCCATGCTCTCTTTTCCTTCTAGTAGATTACAAATCAGAACCTTTTCTGGATACTAAATACAGAGAGTTAAAGAAAACATTTTGTGCAGCTTGCAGGGAAACCCTCGATCACATTAAACAGTACCTAAAATAATTAGATTTCTAGCATTTAGGGCATGCGTATTTAGGGTTTAAACATGTAATTTAAATATCAGATTAGGCCCAGCCAGCAACGCTCAGTGGTTAAGCACTGACCTATGAACCAGGAGGTCAAGATTGGATTCCCGTCAGGGCACATACCCAGATTTTGCAGCTCGATCCCCAGTGTGGGGCATGCAAGAGGCAGCCGATCAATGATTCTCTCTCATCATTGATGTTTCTTTCTCTCTCTCTCCCTCTCTTAAATCAATAAAAATATATTTTAAAAATACCAGATTAATAGCTCTGTTACAAGTCATCTAAAATTTCTGAGATTTAGTTTATTTACATTAAAATGGGGCTAATCACAGGGTTGTTCTAGAGATTAAATGAGATAGGAAATGCATAGTAGTTTGAGAAAATTAGAAATTTTTCCTTATTTTTTGCTTTAAAAATCTTGCTCTGGCTTTCACTGAAAAATTTTTTATTAATGAAGTCATATAGTACATGGTTAATGGGTAGAGAAGTATGTTTAAAATGTTTGCATCTCAGCCTAAGAAAATCGTGCCTATAAGAAACCTAACTCTTCAGGTTTCTAGGCCATGACCAATAGGTCTCACCTTAGCAGGTGGCACTTTATGCTAATGATAACAATGTTCCCAAGAGTTAACAGCTGCCTGGGTGCTGGAATTGTGGGCTGAAGCCAACATACCCACGCAGCATGCGCATTTCATTTAACAGAAGGCAGCTGCATGTCATAGCGCAAATATAAGATAAACATTGAAGCCTAATTTAAATCTTTGTCAAACTGTTCTGAACACGCATATCTGAGTGGTAAACTGTTCCAAGCATGTACTGTCTGAGTTACTATCTAGCAATGAACTATAATAGACTAATAAGGATAAAAATGTTAGTGCTACACACAGCACTCCACCTTCAAAAACACCCTAATAATATTGGGATCTGTATTATTACTTTTTTCTCAAACAATTTGCTATAGATGCTTGCATCATTTTTACCTATTTCTGTGGCACATTACTATGACTAATGCACTGAAGAAAAAGAAGTAACTTCATATTTAACTATTAAAGATTTATCCAATTAGCCATGCTTTTCTTCTAACCTCATTTTCCACCCTCTGGCATCCTTCCTTCCTTTTTCCGCCCTCTACACCAGCCGTGGGCAAACTACGGCCTGCGGGCCACATCCGGCCCGTTTGAAATGAATAAAACTAAAAAAAAAAAAAAAGACCGTACCTTTTTATGTAATGATGTTTACTTTGAATTTATATTAGTTCACACAAACACTCCATCCATGCTTTTGTTCCGGCCCTCCGGTCCAGTTTAAGAACCCATTGTGGCCCTCGAGTCAAAAAGTTTGCCCACCCTGCTCTACACCTATAAGCCAAGTACCTGCCATAGCAAATATAAGTTGATCCCAACCAAATACATCAATGAAGACCTAATAAAATGAAGACAGTAAAGAATATACAGAATTTTGGTTTCTGTTTTAGTGAATCTGTCACTGGTTTTGATCACATGGTAATCTTTTAGGTTCATTTAAGCTATGCACAGGATATGCAGACAGTGATTATTTTCAGAGTCTAGCAGACCACCTGAAAGCTGTATGTAATCAACTGTGAGCTTAAACTATCTTGCTTACTAGCAGGTATTTAACATTGGGAGTTCTTAGGGAGTGTGGAGTGGCTTAAGACATTAAGAGAGCGTGGCACATTGAACCCAAATCATAGGAAGGGGGCACACTAATTTCAAACCACCTGGAAAAGATGTGTTATGAGAGTCTGTGTTTCATCCTGGTGATCTTTCAACACTGGGATTGTTCAGAAGTCACCATAAAGTTGCTCCTACAATTAGATGGCGAGTGGCTTCGATTTTTCTTTCTAGTCCTAACTCTCCTTGAACCACTTGCAGACCAGGGTTAAAAGGTGACATGCCCTTTTCTTTTTCACCCAACTGAAGATCATCCAGGCAAACGCTAAGTCAGGTTGCTCCTGGTAGGAGGCCGACACATGAACCCAGATGCATGTTTCCAAAGCAGACATAATTCTGCACTCCATCGCAGAGAGCCAAACTCATCACTTATTATGGAGAAGGGCCAGTCTACAAAGCTTCCCAGAGCCAGAACAATTCTTAGCGCCAGGAAATGTAATGGTTATGGAGCAAAACAAGCCTTAGAAAGAAACTCCTATAGAGCAGTATGTGCGCCAGTTCTGGGGGGAGGATTTCTCTTGCCCTCTTAGCATCTGTCTTATAAATGTCAAATGTAATATGGTCGAACAGAGTGCTAGCAGCTCTAAAAATAAAGTGTGGGGCATAGAGTTTTGAGGATCAAGTGAGCAAGAGAGAGAAAAAAAAAGCGTTAGGATCATAGCAGGTGTTTGATAAATGCCTGTTTCTTGGTTTCTTCTTTCTATCCCTTTCTCCCTCTGTCTTTTTCTTGTCTTCCCTCCTTTGCTCTTTTCTTCCCTTCATCTATCCCTCTCTCTGCTTTTTTCCCCTAAAATAAAATTGATGGTTTTGATCTTTATTTAATTAGATAATTGATAGAAGCAAGTCTAATGTGTGAACTCTCATATTTTCAATAATTTTCCTGTGAACTCAGTAGTTTCCTAGTATTTCAAGGATTCATGGAAGGTTAAAAGTTTAGAAAAAAAATTTATTAGTAAATATTTGAATAAACAAATCTTCTATAAAGCTGCTTTTGTTATTATTCTTCTTAAATATATATTTCATAAAAATCCAACTAATGAGGCAACTTTGTAGGAACATAATGTTCTATAATGAGAAGTTATGGGATAGAGTGGTTCACCAGATTCAAACACTCAATTTCAGTGTTCAACTGAGGCCAATACAAAAGTTCTCTTTGTCCCTTATTGTCACTCTTTTTCGCCCACGGATATTGGCATCTATGTGGGAGAGAAGGAAGGATTTCTGCTATGTGTACCCCTCCTTATTTCATTTCACTCCTCCCAGAATTTCATTCAGAATAAAAATGTATAAGGGCAAATGTACAAGAGTAGAGTGAGCTGCACTACTTAGTCATGCACAGGCTCTTCCCCCAACCACTCTAAGACAGCATTACATAATCCATTCAAGCTACACCCCCTCCCCAAGGCTGCAAGCCAGAGTTGCAGAGCTGTGCGTGGGTTGCATAAGTAGGGTGATGGGAGGGAAATAGTTCTGTTAACCTTCCGGCCCTGTGCTAAGACTAACACAGGAATCTCACGATAAATCATTTTCATTTCCTAAATTAGCCTCAACTGGCCATGGTACCACTTCTTTGTCTGAGGGCAGCTCCATCCCTGCTCCTCCTGGTCATCACTACCATTTCAGCTTCCCCAGTGGAAACTGGACGTTAGCCAGGCAAATGAAACAGTGTTAGAGAACTTGACTCCAGTGCTCTTCTCTGCTGAGATTTTCGTTCGGAGTATTTGTTCCTTGCTCTCCTATTTCCTCTTTCTAAACATGTTGCTTTTCATATCGTGGATGATGTTTTCATTGTAGGAGCTTAGAAATTCCAATAGGAATACCACACACAGTAGGTACCGTCAATCTCGCAGTTCCTACAATCATTTGCACGGGGGGTTGCTCAGTTTCCTCTTAGCTTTGAGGGATGAGAAATTCCCTCATCAATACCCATCAGAGTAATGCACCACTTACCTTGAAGATTCTCTAGCCCTATATCTCCAGGCCATTATAAATCGCTTGCATCATTTCAGCTAACAGGCCTTGTTCCTCCTCGATTGTTCACTGGCAAATGCATCATTCCAAAGACAGCCACGATTTGATTGTGTTACAGGGCAAAGGGGAATAATTTTTCTTGCTGTTTCAACATGTTCCTTGTGTTCCAATAAGGTCAAAGAGATACTACCACATGCAATTCTGAAGTAATCAATTTTGCCTTCTCATTTTATGATCGTTTCTCCTTCCTTGTTTTCTCTCCAGTTATATACTCAAACTACAAAACATCCAAGATATAGGTGTAGTAATTTTACATCTCTCATAAAATAAAGCTTTGAAAGAAACTGTTGGCTTCGTTGGGTACACAAATATCTAAAATTAACCCGCTTAAACAGAACATGTGGTGGTAAGGTTCCTACCTAACCACAGATTAACCGCTTATGAATGGCACATTCTTCAACTCAAATTACAGAAGCACTTAACATGCAGTGAGCAAACCATCATCTTGGATGAAACTACATTTATTTATTATGTTTCATTGCAATTTGTGAGCTGTACTTGGCAAATGGTAAAAAAAAAACAACTTCACCCTATTGAAAATAGCATGCTAGTAAATAAAGTCAGTGAACTCCGTGGTAGGCAAGGTGCTAGTCGAAGGACTGAGAGGCAGTGTTTGAAAAACAGTGTCTGAGAGCGGATGGCACTATCAGTCCAGAGTTGGGAAATCCGCTCACAGCAGCTGAAGCCGCCGTTACCCGGGAGTCAGTAAAATCCGTTATGAACCCCGCCCCACTGCCAGACACAGACACTGAAACAGGCAGATGTGGAAATCAGCCTCCGGGTACACAGTATCCACAGTTTCAAACGTGTCAACATAGCTTCACACAGACCCTTTACATTTTGCCAGAATTAGTCACTGGCTTTCAAACTGCCAGAAAGACACATACCTTCTTGCTCTGGGGAGAAATCCTATGGATGTTCGGCCACTGGCCACTCTGGCAGTGGAAGGATAGCTAGTTGCTTTAGAGAGGAAAGTCTCCGCTTGGTGAAGCTTGCTTCTTTGCAAGAAATGGAAAGGCAAAGTAAGTCCAACCATTCAACAGAGCGGTACTGACAAGTCCCTCTGAAACCTTCAGCACTTTCACAAATCAAAAAGCTGTTCCGCTCAGTCTCACAGCAGCAGCCTGGACTCCTGTGACGTCAGTGACTGAGGGGCGAGGGGGGGGGGGTGGTAGAGGGGCTGGCCTCTGGGCCACCTCTTCCAACCAGAGCTCTGTAACTTTAGAGCAGCTCCTTCTCTGGGTAAACAACTCCAGGTCCAGGACATTTTTAGCTTTTATGATGGAGCTCAGTATTTTCAAACTTGCCAAAAGAGCTGGTGGTAATTTCACACGATGACAATGGCCAATTTTAGATTCCTTTTATTTGGAAGATTCAACTCTTTTTTTAATAAGCAAGAATGATCTCCTTGCATGCCTCTCTCTTCCCCCTTTTCGGCTAGCATCAGAATGTGGATGTGGCAGAACATGTGTAGCAATGAGACACACACACGATCTCAAGAGATTTTTGAAAATGCATCAAATTTATATCTTTAAATAAAGTAGAAACGGGACACGTTTAAAGACCCACGCCCCAGCTCCTTGTGACTCTATGAGAGAGTGCTGCCTGTGTCTACAGCGATAGTGCTGGCTTTCTGCTAGAGGAAATCAGAGCCCCTGGGAAAAGATGATACTTATTCCTGGAGGAAAAGAGCCAATGAGATACCCACGTGCTGTTTTCAATTGCCATGTGCTGCAATCCAGGGCTATGGCGAGGCTCCCTAAACCGTGACCAAACGGATCAGCCCTGGAAATGTTAGGAAACCTTGCTTCCCCAGCAACATTCCCTGGTTGTGTGAGAACTCGTATGTCCACGCATCTGCTCATATTTGGTTTAACTGATTTAAGGAAAGTGTCTAGATCAATCTGGTGTCCAATTTATAAGCTCGATAACGGTTTCAGTAATAAGGCCTTATCCTCGAGTCTGTGTGGTTCTTCACTTTCTCATGATTTTTGCCTGCTTCCAGGTAAATATTTCTTGGACAACTAAAAAAGTTTAATAATAGCAACCTGCTCATAGTAGGTCTTTAGCATATGGAGGACAATGGAATGAAATCATGCTCTGTGTTTTGAAAGCCTGGTATCATAATCTCAAAAGCATTAACAGCAATAATAGTTCTAATAGTAACTGCCATGGAGAGACTGCTGTTGGCAAGGCTCTGTGCTAAGTACTTTGAATTTATCTTTCTTATCTACCTCTCCACAGCTCGGAGAGGTAAGGAGTCTTGCCTAAATTCATAGAAACATGCTTATGAGAAAGAGAGGGGCTTGGAACCAGCTTCTCCAACAGGAGATCCTGAATTCTGTCACGGAGATCTTGGTTTCACCACTTATTTGTGTGAAATGTGAGTTCCAGCTTCTTCCATGAAGGGATAATCGTATGTCCTTTATGAGTTTGTTGTAAAAGTATGAGAGATACTTACAGTGTGAGGCATACAAGAAATGTCAGCTCATTTCTGCCTACATGCTTATGAGCACAGGAGGAAGATCTTGGGGTGTGTGTGTGTGTGTGTGTGTGTGTGTGTGTGTATGTGTTGCCCCAAGAGAGCATCTATACAGAATTATCTAGTAACATTATTTCCCGCTTACCCACTCCAAGCCTCTTAATTTCCATGTGTCCTTTGTAAATCAAATTAAGAATATTTTCTGAATCTGATTAGAAAACCTGAAACACTAATTCGAAAGAATATATGCACCCTTATGCTCATTGCAGCATTATTTACAATAGCCAAGATTTAGAAGCAGCCCAAATGTCTATCAATAGATAAAAAAGCTGAGGTACATTTACACAATGGAATACCACTTGGCTGTAAAAAAAAAAAAAAAAAAAAAAAAAAGGAAGGAAATCTTACCCTTTGCAACAGCATGGATGGACCTGGAGAGTATTATGCTAAGTGAAATAAGCCAGTGAGAGAAAGACAAATACCATATGATTTCACTCATATGTGGAATCTAATGAATAAAATGAACTAACAAGCAAAAGAGACAGAATCATAGATAGAGATCAGGCTGTCCAGGAGGGAGCTGGCTGGGGGGGTGGGGGGGGGGGAGGGGGGGAGGGGAGGGGGGAGGGATAGAGAAAAAGAGAGAGAGAGAAAAAACTCATGGATCTGGACATCAGTGTAGTGATGGTGGGAGGTTAGATTTCTGGCTTTGTAAAATCAGGGAGGTGGGGTGGGAGGAGTTGGGGGACGAGGGGATAGGGGGGATAAATGATGATGGCTGGAGACTTGACTTGGGGTAGTGAATGCACAGTATAGCATACAGATGATGTGGTGTAGAATTGTGTACCTGAAACCTACATAATTTTGTTAACTAATTCACCCCACTAAATTCAATAGAAAGAGAATTTCAGATAGTATGTGGTTAAGTTATAGAAGAAATTACATTGCCTATACACTCCATACTATCACTCAATAGTACCTATGTCAATGCCCCTTCTCATGGATGTACCAGCAATTATTTATTGCAGGTGCTTCATCTGCTTCTTGTCATGGTAAAGCTGAACTTAAATTACATCCTATCTAATAAAAGAGAAACATGGTAATTGGCGTACGACTGCTACCCTTCCCATTGGCTAATTAGCGAGATATGCAAATTAACTGCCAGCCAAGATGGCAGCCGGCAGCCAGGCAGCTTAAAGCGAACATGAACGAGGCTTGCTTGCTTCAGTGACGGAGGACTCCAACGTTCCCCGCCTGCCTTGCCGGCCTCTGAGCTTGCAGTTTGAAACATTGTAACAAAAATAGAAGCTAAACAAAACCCCAGAAACCTGCTTTCAGTGAGCCGGGATCTCAGAGCTAGAGTTGATACAGAGTTTCGATTATAGAACACAAACAAACCAGATACCTGCTTTCAGCAGCAGAGGCCTCAGAGCTGGAGCCAGAGCTAAAGCTGGCCCAGAATAAAAAAGAAAAAAAAGAAAAAAGGAGCAGTTGGGAGCTTCAGTCACCCGCCAGCCTGAAAACAGCCCTCAGCCCCTCACCCAGACTGGCCAGGCACCCCAGTGGGGGCCCCCACCCTGAAGGGTGTGTGACCAGCTGCAAACAGCCATCATCCCCTCATCCAGGCTGGCCAGGCACCCCAGTGGGGACCCCCACCCTGATCCAGGACACCCTTCAGGGAAAACCAGCCAGCCCCCACCCGTGCACCAGGTGCCTCCCAGCACCGGGATCAGCGGAGCCGCGAGGCCTCCCGGCACTGGGATCAGCGTGACAGGGGGCAGTGCCCAAACCCCCTGATTGGCCCTGCTCTGTGTGTGACAGGGTCCTGCTCTGTGTGTGAGAGTGGCAGTGCCCCAACCCCCTGATCGGCCCTGCTCTGTGGGTGATAGAGGGAAGCGCCCCAACCCCCTGATCCGCCCTGCTCTGTGTATGACAGGGGGCGGTGCCCCAACTCCCCTATCGGCCCTACTCTGTGAGTGACAGGGGGGAGCTCCTCAACCCCCTGATGGGCCCTGCTCTGTGTGTGACGGGGGGAGCTCCCTAACCCCCTGATGGGCCTTGCTCTGTGCGTGACAAGAGGGAGCTCCCCAACCCCCCTGATAGGCCCTGCTCTGTGCGTGACAGGGGGGAGTTCCCCAACCCCCTGATGGGCCCTGCTCTGTGCATGACAGGGTACGGAGCCCCAACCCCCCTAATGGGCCCTGCTCTGAGCCCGACCAGGGGCTGCACCTAGGGATTGGGCCTGCCCTCTGCCACCCGGGAGCAGGCCTAAGCCAACAGGGCGTTATCTCCCGAGGGGTCCCAGACTGTGAGAGGGCACAGGCCGGGCTGAGGGTCCGGCCCCTTCCCGGCCGAGTGCACAAATTTTTGTGCACGGGGCCTCTAGTATACAATAAAAAACGAAGGAAAGACTTTGACAACAATTTCATGCCAAGTCCATCACTTCTTATAGTATCAACCAACCCTCTGTTATAACTTTCCATGTGTATTAGCTAAAATCTCCATGCTATGTTTCACACTCAAAAGAAACAAACAACACAGTTAGGTGATAGCATACGTAGGCAGTACATATTCAGCACAGGTTTCTTTTTAACCTTTCCACTGAAAACTTTGTTTGAAGAAAACTTTGCTGTAAGGAAAAGTTTCTGCTGCCATGTCCACGAAATTGCTGGATTTAAAGACTGGTGCTGGTGCACTCAGCCCTGCAGCGCTGCTCAGACTTTCTGAAGTGCTGGACACTTTCAAGCCGGTGACCGAACGGCTGAAAACCGTTTGGGAAAAAATGCAATTTGTTGTGTAATCCAGGCTAACTTTAAACCATTTCAATATTGAAACCTTCAAATATAAAATTGATCCAAATCATTGCTCTAGGTATTGCAGAGAATTTGGAGAAA